AATCAACTTCAAAATAGGTTCCAAGATCTAAGAAAAATAAAAAAAATGTTTGTTAATTGTTGAAAATTCGTGGCATCTAGAAACAACAACTATTTCAGAGCTAGCATTAGTTTTAAATTGTAATTACTCAGAGATGTTCGATGAGTTCATCGATTTTAAAAACGTCACCAATCTAGAAGGTTGGAATATGCGAAATTTTGTAGTATTGTTCCCCAAAAATATGAAAGCGTCTAAAGAATTGCCCAAATCTTATCAACATTCTTTGGGTCTACATTTGTGTGTGAATCGTCTTTTTCGAAATGGAAATACACAAAGAATATGTACAAAAACAAATTTACAGACTCTTATCTGGATGATGTGATAAGGTTAGCATGCAGCAATAAGCCAGATCTTGACAAAGTTTTCAAAAAGTGTTGACAGTATCAAAAATTCATTAAAACAAAATGGTTTCATACCGAAATATCTTTGTTAAAACCTGAAGTCATTGTTAGTTCTTTCAAAATTTGCATCGCAAGTGGCTTCATGATAACCTTATATTATAAAGGTTACAAGGTCATGTATTGTATAGACGGCTTTATTGTGACCACCTTTTTTTTCATTAACACTTAAATATTTTTTGCGGCCTGCACATCAAGACCGAAAAGTGTTTGTGGCTCTATTAAAAATAAAGGTTGAGTATGGCTGATCTACGAGATAGTCTCTGATTCTCCGTTTGAATACTAAAATTGATACTACACTTTTTATGTTGTAAGATATACAATTGAAAAAATTTCAAGCCTGCTAGGAATGGCGTCTTTTCGTATAATTTGGTACGCTGTTGGTGTAGTTTGATTAAATTCCCGTTCCTGGTTGCGTAATTCAAGTTCGCGTTTTTTTTCCAAGAGCGGACAGTTATAAATATAGAGAGAAGGTACTGTTAATATCTTCTTTTGCTTGAAAACAGGTTTACATGAATTAGTATGATGTAGATTGTAAAGCATACGAATTACTCGTTTCTGAGCAACAAATACCCTGTTGATATTTGTTGCATCCTCCCATAGGACCACATTATAAGATAGAACAGAATTAACAAAAGCATAGTAAACATCCCACATAGTCGATTTGAAATTACCAGTTCGAATCGTGGTCAATGTGAACTCCTAGAAACTTCATGGATTCTGAAGGGCCTAGCTTCATGTTATTGTAAAATATGGAAAATTTTCATGAAATAATTCAAATTCATTTAAGCGAATGCATGTTTTCCAACCTCAACTTCAATATTCTAAAACAAAAACACGTTCAAAATCTAATTCACAATTCCATCTTTTAATATTCCAAGTTCATAGACATCAAAATCGATACGATCACAGGATACAGAAATATAAAACAATCTCCAAATACGCAAACTTTGCATAGATTGCATACTGTTCATTTTACCTTAGAACAGTGACCGGATCAAAGTTGCAATGTCAGCGTATAAATCTTCATAAATATTGAGGAAGGTCAAGATCATCAACAGACAGTATTGAAAAATTCATTCAGTATCTATTGATCTTCAGAAAAAGTTCCAGCATTGCAGAACATCTCCTTTTTTTCGATCCTGCTGGGTGGCAGTATAATGTACGTTTTTGGTGATTTATTGTATTTTTGATTAACATTTTAGTGTAAGTTTATTCCTGAAGTATTTACCTCATTTTGTTACAATAAATATTTAATGAAGTTTTTAAATAAGTTCTTTCATTATTTGGATGAATGATGAATGGGTGAAAGAGCGAATAAAATCCTCTCGTTAATAAGCCAAGCGAGTTCGGAGTTGCGACATTATTAATAAGAACATGTGTAGAATGTTCCACATATTTTCTTGGAAAAAACTGTACCAATACTGTGTTTTCTGCATTGACCATGAGTCTAATTCTTTGACATCACTTGAGAAATTTTGACTTATTACCTTCAGTTTTTCAATAAGTGCTTCCTATCTTTAAATTTAAATAAAACAAAGTGTGTGTGAGATATCATCAATTTTTGTTCATTGTTTGAAATACCAATTAATACCATTATGTGTATATAACATCATTCAAATTTTCGCCACGGCGAAACGCATCTGAAACTTCCACTTGTCCACGACTCTGGCGCATAAGTAATAATAATAACGAATGTTTTTATTAAAAGTTTGCTTTGTATAAGAGATACTAACCTAACCTAACAAATGGCAGAATTCAACATCTGTACATGATAAATGCAGGTATTACTCTTCCCTCCAACCAGGCTGAATTTGGCCGATGTCATGGGTTATGTTGGCTTTGAGGATCGCTGTGGTATGTGGCTTATTTGCAAACACATGCGACATAAGAAAATCCCATAAGAAAAAGTCTAACGAGCTCAAATCGCACGATCTCGGTGGCCAGTTCACATCACCTCCACGTGAGATGACCATGTCCTGAAATCACTCGTGCAAAATATCAATGTGGCACGTAGCGCTGTCCTGTTTAAACTACATGTTGGTATCCAGATCATCCAATTTAGGCCAAAAGAAGTTGATCATCATCGACCTATAGTGATCGCCATTGACAGTGATGACCTGGCCAACGTCATTCTCGAAGAAATAAGGACTAATGACGCCGCCAGCCCAAAATTGATACTTAACTTTTCAGGATGCATTAGACGGTCTTGGATCTCATGTGGATTGATATCGTCCCAAATAAGACAATTTTGTTTGTTCACGTACCCATTCTTCCAGAAATGGGCCTCATCGTCGAAGATGATTTTTCGATGGAGATTAGGGACAGTTGCCAACTGATTCAGAGCCCATTCAGCAAGCACACGTAGTTTTCTATGGTCGTTTTCTTTCAGTTTCTGAGTCAGTTGAATTTAGTTTGGGTACAGGCCCAAGTTACGACGCAAAATTCGCCAAACTGTGGTCTGCGAAAGGCTCAGTTCTTATAAGGGACTCTAAATCGTCTGCCTCAGATTCTCCTGCACACTCTCACAGACAGGGGCGATGTATTTCGTAAATCTAGTGTTTCGTCGACTTACGGGTGTTTGTCGATCGTTTACCTAACAAGTGGACTCAAATTTATCCACCACATTGCGAATAGTCCTCTTGCTAGGACGATTATGGCGATCGTAAAATGGGTGAAGTACGCGATACGTTGCTGGACGAGAACACCCATTTTGATGAAACATTTTTAATACTGGCACGTGTTGTATGCTACATACGTCCATGGTGATTTGGCAAAGCAGATTGAATAAATGACAACTAATTTGGCAGATGTAGCTTCAATAAGATAGCCGTTATCAATTGTCAAAGTTCAGAAGTCCCTATTGGAAGACCCTGTATACGGTCAACAAGAAGTAATTAACACGGTGTCGTAATTAATGGTATCAATATGTGGAAACATTTTCACCAGACTTCCATGAAATTGAACTCTGATATCGCTTGTTACTTTGGATACTCATCATTTTGAGGTTCAACTCAGTACACCTCGAACTTCACTGTTCAAGAATTCTTTCATTTGGAGAACTGCATTTATGTGGAATACACTCCCTGAGAACGTTTTACCAAATGAATTTAATCTCAAGTGACTAAGATCCAATGTAAATCGCTACTTTCTTGGAGCACCCTAAGGATTTTGCTGCAGTGATTGTGTTTTGTCCTTTTCATTTGTAACCTATCAAAATTATTGTTTTCTTTTGAATTCTTTCACAATTTTATGATCACACATTGAATTTTATCAATTTAGAACAATATCCTGTTTCGAACAGGAAGTTGACATTATTGGTCTGTTTATTTCTTCTTAAATTCAATCAATCCAAGTGTAGAAACTTGTATGATTTCACACAATCATACAATAAACTGTATTAGGTAATGAGTTTTAATGTATTTCATCAGTTCGGACTTCCATTGTCTAATATAACATAAATTGATTTGAAATCCCTGAAAAAAATAAAAGATTAACCGAATATAACAATTTTATTAAAACAAAAAACTGAAATTAGAAGGATATAACATATAAGCTACAACCAGTTATCACCCGAAGACGATTGTGGATACTAACAATCGAAACGTCGGGACTTGGTTTGGAATCTTTCAATTTTTATTTTTTCATCTTCATTTTTGTTAATAATATTTTTAATTTTCAGCTTTTATTAATATTTCAATTTTTTATTTTCTGGTTGTAGTTTGTATGTTATTTCCTCGTAATTTCAGTTTTTTGTTTTGATAAAATTGTTATTTTCGGTTAATCTTTTATTTTTTTAGGGATTTCAAGTCAAGTTATATTATATTAGACAATGGAAGTCCGAACTGATGAAATACACCACGAAACATTGTCAACCACCTTCAAACAAACAATGAGTTTGTATATTGAAAAGAGAAATGGAAATTTTTATGTTTTTTACCACTTTTAATTGTAACTAACGTTTCTGCAGTTTCGTCTTATATGGACATTCTCAAACTAATACAATAAACATAGAAATTTTCATTTCTCTTTTCATTATGATCTCCTACCACGTACTACATCTATCAATTTATAGTTTTAATATTGATTTTCATCGAGTATCGGCCAGTTCTTTTCAATGTTTGAAACTTTGTGACTACTTATTTCAAATTTTGAACATTTATAAGATTGAAAAAAGTAACCTATAGTTTTTTCAAAGATTTGTAAAAGTTACTGATTGTAAGTGGCAATGAAAGAAAAAAATTGGGAAATTTGGTATCCGATCGAATATCTGTAGTTTTATATAATACATTACCATTGAAATTCAGTATGGAGTTTAATACAAACAGCGGTAGCATTTCTGATTTCGTTCAAAATCTAATTCACATATATTTTTCTGAAGATACACATTTTCAAAATCTTTCGAACCCAGATCGTTTTTTCCACTATTTTCTTTAAATGTGTCTCTGTACTTTGAAAATATTATAGTATTTTTTCATATAATAGCTAGCCGATACTTTGTATCTCGGTTGAATTCCTGATTTTAACCTATAAAGTGAGTAGTTCTAATAAAAAAAGACTTACCTCCACCATTTTTGTAGCACAAATAGGGAAACCTCCATACATTCGCCAGGTCGACAGCAAACCCGATGACCGACAGTAAGAAGTCTACCTTTTTTCCCCATGTTTCCCGCTCGTCTGTGGTCAGGAGAACTTCTGGTGGACCTCGAGGACTATTCAGGCCCTTTTTAAAGGACATCGTTGTCTAACGGCAGGTGATGGAGTGTGCCGTGAACACTGAAAATGAGAATAAGTCCAAATGAGAATAATGATAAAAGTAGTAGATATTTCAAATGTTACGAACGGGCAGAGTGGCACTCATGAGAATAATGAACAAGAGAAGAAAGACTAGAGGTGACATATCGATAGGTTGAGGCAGATGAAAAAATCTATCGCATTCACCATTTCTACCAGTCTCATCTAGAATGACGTAAAGTAAATATAATGATTCATTCTCAAGTGGACAAATACCTAATCTTATAGTACACCACACGTGAGAATGATGAACAAGAGTTGTTTCCTGCTGGCAGATGTCGGTGTTATGCATCGTTGGTTATTTAAGAAGCTATATCATTTTTTAATTTATTGCGTTCAGAATATCAGTCAATAGGTAGAGTAAGATCTAATATGTTAATCCTGTAAAAAATAAAAGAAAGGCTACAAATGACTGAAAAAATCACATTTTGGTTTTCAATCAAGCAAATGGATTATCGACGCCATTTGCTGATAAGATCAGTGGCCAAAAACTTATTTGGGTTTTATAAAACTGGAAATGACTTTTGACTAAATAAATCTAGATGACATATGAAGAAAAGAAAAAAGAATCAATAACATTGATAAAATGTATACAAAGTTTGTATAGGAAAACTACTTCAAAAAAGGAACATCGAAAACATTTGTGACCCTTGGGAGTAAGACATATTTGCATCTTTAACTACTCTACTGTTTATGACAGTATTGGATGTATCGATAATAAGAAGAGCGAAAAATTATGTAAGGTGGGATACTGGAAAATGAAAAATATTGACATTTCAAAATTATGTTATGTAGAAGACATGATAATGGTAGCTGAGGATGGAAAGTTCTGCAAAAGATAAATGTGAAAGGAGAAGATCAAAACAAAGATATTGGGGGGATGTGAACGTTAGCACTTGATGAAAATGAGCTATAATCACAACATTGAGAATAGTTGAATGCCTAGGAGCCTATATACGAGGGTGATCCCAGAAGTACCGGACCCAACAAAGAAAACACAAACATAATCTCTTTGCAGCTCTATACATTTTTCCCAGCGACGTTCAATAAGTTCGATACCGTTTTTATGAAAAGAACTGTCTTGCTCCTCAAAATAGGCTTTAACTGCCGACATCACTTCATCATCGTTGGAAAAACTTTGACCACTGAGCCATTTTTTTCAACTTTAGGAACAGAAAATTATCCGAGAGGGCTAAATCTGGCGAATAGGGTGCATGAGGTAGCAATTGAAACTTCAATTCGTTAATTTTGGTCATTACGATAATGGATTTGTGAGCTGGTGTATTATTTTCATGAAACAACATTTTTTCCTTAAACTAATTAATACAGTTTATTGTAAGATTTTCACTAAAAAAAGGTTTTACGAAAACCGCGACACGTGTTTCGCTATACAATAGCTTTCTCAAGCGCAAGTTAACACTTTTTGAATTGCCTACTAGGTCTGATAGCTCGCGTTTCCAAATAAATACTAAACAACGCATTGTCTTCAAACTTAAAACATTGTGTAGTATCTAATGATCTTGGCAAGATCACGTCGGGAAGGGTAGCTTGTAATATCCTCCAAAGAAGGAAATATTAAGAGCAGATAGTTGTTGTTTCACAGATGGATCAAAAACACCTTCCGGTTTTGGTGCAGTTATTTTCACTCGTAGACCCAGGCAGACAACCTTCCTAGTACCATATGCGACTCTGGTCTCGATTCCTGGCCATACTGGCCTGGAAAGCAATGAGGCTGCTGACTCCCTTGCAAAGGAAGGTGGTGCAAGCAAGTTCATCGGATCAGAACCTGTCATTGGCATGGCTTTAGTCTTAGCCAAACAAAGATTGAACACCTGGATGGCAAGAAGATTTATGGACTTCTGGCAGAATCTTCCAGAATTGGCTCACTCGAAGGCGTCATTTATTCACCTTCCGAAGCTTGATACTAAACAGTTCTTGGACTACAGTAGGAATGAACTACGATGTCTAACAGGCCTTCTTACAGGTCACTGTCATTTGAATCATCATATGCTGAGACTCGGACTGTCGGAAGACAGTCCTCTGTTTGGGAAATGATGAAACAGCGGAGCACATACTTTGTGTCTGCCCCGCTAGGGACCGAATCAGGTTTTTAGAGTTCAGCAGAGCCGTACTCTTACCATCTGACCTGAAAGTCACTCACTAATCGGCGTCGCTAAGAAGCTGGGATTATTTGGTCGAGTGTGAATAGGTGTTAGCCACAATAAACCCTTGCGGGTTGCGGGGGAGGGACGAATGGACCCACTCACTTTGGACCTAATCTAACCCAATTATCTGATACAGTGATATTTTTCAAATAACTACCTTTATCTCTATACTTAAAACAAATACCTTATAGATTGTGCAATTTATAGTATAGTAATATTTTTCAAACAACTACTGGCATCTCTAGACCACCCTGGTACTAGCTAGTATATACTAACACTAGATTGGGTTCATTTGCAAGCAAATGGCAATACAGTTGAGGTACGTATTTGACGGTAATACATTGAGATGTGAATTGAACAATTGGAATATTTAATCAAATATATATGATACAATCAAAAAATAAGATTTTGTCATATTCAAAATGCAATATCTGGAAGATCATCCTCAAGGAATTCATTTGTGTTGTAGCATACTTTTTCAAGCAAAAGTTCCCTCAGCTTGCTTTCAAGTTCTCTAATCGATAAAGGAAGATGATTAAAAAACTTCTTCCCTTTGTAAAAAATTGATAGTTTCATCTGTGTTGAAAAGGGGATGGAGTAGAAAACCCTGTTAATTTTTCACTTTTTCTATCACTCTTGAATCTAATGAATTTTTACTGTGCGTGGCATTGACACTTCAACTAATGAAGCTCAGTATTTATCCCTGTAGATGAGAAAGCATTTCACAATCTCAATTACGGGTGGAGTACGATACCACTCAATTGCGAATTTGAGGCTGAACTAATGAACTCAGTGAGTAACCGACAGCATTGGATATTTTCAAGGGTTCTTGTTGTTAACAAAGGGTTCGACGCAGCTGCAATGGACATGTGTCATGAATGGTCGTTATTGACATTTCGATTGGCATTGAAGTGCTAAATTTATTTCCTGATCAAGTATACTTTTCAAGTTATGACGAGCTATCAATGAGTATCATGACCTACTCGTCGATGGATGAATTTTTCCAATTAGGTGTCGCTATCATTTGTCACCTTCGAATCTTCTGGTGGCTGGATAATTGGAATAATTATTTTTCAATCAGAATTATCTGGAATTCTACAACTATATTAGTTAATAACGAAGGAATTGAATAATTAGTGCAGTTGTACCAGACTCACGATCCTTTCCGAGAAATTAT